AGTAAAACTTCTCAACTAATCACTATGAAGCTGAATTAAAAATCCTACAACTGCGGCTCTAAAAATTGCTTTATTGCAACTGTATTTTCTGAAGAGCATTCAGAGACTTAAATGTTCTACCGTATTTATACAACTCTAACCACGTTAATCTGCATGGTCTACTCAGTATATCACAGCAACAACTAGATGTGGACCAATTCTAGATTCAGCAGGTAAGGAAACGCATAGCTTTCACTCTGGCTATAAAATTAACTCCGAATCAAATCCAAGATTCTAAGCTTTATCCCCAGCACTAAAACCTAAGACTCTACTTAGTAAGATCATAAGTTGCTTCTTCTTAATTCAAAATGCTCAGGTGAGTGTTTCTAATTAAAAACTCTTTCATCAGCAATACCTTGAGTCATACTTACCAACAAATTTTTAATGAATTACCATTAAGTATCAGTCACCATAAAACAGATAAGATTATGTAAAAAATACAATCTCTACAAAAGAGGCTTATGTTTTATTTTCAAGATACTGTCATGGGGAATATTAATTACCACTACAAAAAGCTTTGTTAGTAACCCCCACGACGAACTTTTTTTCCGTTCATTTCTGTTCCTACTTATAAGCATTTTATAGATTTTCAGTCAGCTTTTTCCCATTGTTGTTTTAACCAATCTAATAATCACTTGAACTCCTAATGTTACTTTCATTTCTGAGATTTTGTAAAATTAACCAGTCTTCATATGTTCCTAGATAACAGGATTTTTCAAATTAATATACTACTATTGGCACATTATCCTATGAAAGATTAAGAAATCTTGTACTTTTAATATTTACAAAATTGTTTCCAAGGGGTGGTAGACAGTAAGAACAGCAGGGGCAGCCTTGGCACAGCACGATTACGCATAAAGAAACTAGTTATCACTTTCCCATATTACTCAGATTTGAAAGACTCAGGTTAGGGAAATTTCTTTTTTAAAAAAATATCTACCAATAGCAAAAAAACAACTGGATATAGCTATTCCCTGAGACCTTCAATTAATAGCTACTTCCTTTTTTTTTTTTTTTTTTTTTTTGAGATGCAGTCTCACTCTGTCGTCACCAGGCTGGAGTGCAGTGGTGCAATCTCGGCTCACCGCAACCTCCGCCTCCCAGGTTTCAGCGATTCTCTTGCCTCAGCCTCCTGAGTAGCTGGGATGACAGGCATGCGCCACCATGCCCAGCTAATTTTTTGTATTTTTAGTAGAGATGGGGTTTCACTATGTTGGCCAGGATGGTCTTTATCTTTTGACCTTGTGATCCACCTGCCTCGGCCTCCCAAAGTGCTGGGATTACAGGCGTGAGCCACCACGCCTGGCCAATAGCTATTTCTTAAAATCACTTTGTATTGTAATATGTGGGGTAACCTACTTTTAACTAAGGAAAATATAGTTAAGAAAAAATGTATTAGGAAGTTAAGAGAGTTGTATTCAAATTTATGTTCAATTTTGGTTTCTACGTTTTAGCTTGCATTGGCATTTTACTATCTGGTAGAAATTTACAGGAATGTTTTCATGTCAGTCATTCCGGATGAGTTATAAGAAGACCTGAGGATGAGTATTTAGTACTAGACCCATTATGTCAATAAATTAATGTCAAAGTCAAGATGAAAAATAAAAACCTATGCCTCTTCACTCATCCCACGTGCATTTACGGAAATCCTGGTCTGTGTGAGCTCTCAGTGATGTGTGCAGGGTAGGGAAGACTTTCCTTCTACTCTCTGAGGGTTGAGTCTATGAAAGAAACGGATAGCAGGCAAGTTAACAGGAGAAAAGTACACATTTGTCATGGACACAGGGGGCACCGCAGGAAAGAAGAGTGAGACCTAGAAGCTTACATACCCTCTTTGCAGGAGAGGGGAGGGAGGATGGAGTAGACAAATTAGGGGACAGGAAATGGTTTGGGGGAACGATGAAAGGGCCCTCAGAAGAACAGGTGTCAGCCTGTGACAAAGTCTCTCTCGGTGTGGTATCACCTCCAGTGCCCTCGCCTGTGATCTGAGTTAACTCCCCCTGGTTCGTGACACTTCCAGGGAGGGGGTTCACGACCCAGCTCCTTTTGGAGAATCTGTCTTTGGGCAGGTAAGAGTTCAGAGAGAGCCCCTCCCTCCATCTGCTGTTCCCAAGTGCTCACAATTTGAAATAATCTGTGTACCAAAGCAGCCATTTCTTAAGGTGGCATTTCCTGAGCTCTTTCAAAAACAACAGGTAGCTGGGTGCGGTGGCTCAAGCCTGTAATCCCAGCACTTTGGGAGGCTGAGGCGGATGGATCACGAGGTCAAGAGATTGAGACCATCCTGGTCAACATGGTGAAACCCTGTCTCTTCTAAAAATACAAAACATCAGCTGGGCATGGTGGCGCGTACCTGTAGTCCCAGCTACTCAGGAGGCTGAGGCAGGAGAATTGCTTGAACCCAGGAGGCGGAGGTTGTGGTGAGGCGAGGTCGCGCCATTGCACTCCAGCCTGGGTAACAAGAGGGAAACTCCGTCTCAAAAAAAAACAGGTAATAAAAAAATATTTAAGACAAAGCGTGTCCTTAAGAAACTTACAAGAAATTATCAGCATAAATCAGGTAGAAATGTTGACCAGAATGAAAGAAATGTTCTTATAAAAGAGTCAAATCTGACCCACATTCGCATTTGAGTAAAAACTATAAGAATGTGCACCATAACCTTGGAAGAGTGAGATAGATTACGGTGGCCTTTTTGTTTTCTGTACAGTTTTAAATCATTTGCATTTTAAAATAAATATGTATTATTTTTGTAATCAGGAAAAAATCAAAATCAAAATATATGTCTATGTGTCTATGAATAAACACTCCAAATAAATAAACTATTTGTTGATTTAGGTTGTTGGTAGCTTACGGGATTCGTATTTGTTTAAAAGTCACTGTGTTGTTATTATAGAATTTTACTTGATTTAATTATAAAGAAATTTTAGGTTATTCAGTTGGAATTATCTACTTTATTATATATCGGGAGCAAAAGCCTCATTGCCATATTTATAGAATAGAGCAGTGAAGGAAATGAGGTGTGTCCTCTATTTGTAATACACTTTTTCTTTCCATTTTTTTTTTTTTTTTTGAGATGAAGTCTTGGCTCTGTTGCCCAGGCTGGAGAGCAGTGGTGTGATCTCGGCTCACTGCAACCTCCACCTCCCAGGTTCAAGCAATTCTCCTGCCTCAGCCTCCTAAGTAGCTGGGACTACAGGTGTGCACCACCACACTTGACTAATTTTTTTGGTATTTTTAGTAGAGATGGGGTTTCACCATGTTGGCCAGGCTGGTCTTGAACTCATCACCTTCAGTGATCCAACCACCTCGGCCTCCCAAAGTGCTGGGATTATAGGCGTGAGCCACCGCATCCGGCCTGTAATACACTTTTTCAAACTGTTGCATCATGTCCAGTCTAGATGGAAAATGGCAGAAGAAACCCTCATCGATCCACTTGTCACGATCTATTTCGTTACCACCTATTATTAGGATAACTCTTCTACTGACATTAAAATGGACCATGGTCATTTACAGTTCCCTAATTTCCAAATGCTTTCATAATATTAATATGCTGCCCTGGGGAAAAAAAAGGAAAATTAAAACCATTTCTGGCTGTATTTCAGAAAAGCATCAATAGCCTTGGCCTTCCTATTTTGAGAAGAGCCCCTCTTCACTTCAGGAAGTCCTATTTACATCACTGACCATTTTTCAAATTCTGCCATGTTGTTTTTAGTGTCACTTCTGGCTGAATCATTCTTTTCAGAAATGGCACAGTTTGTGATATCTCTGTCGCTTTTTGTATTTAATACAACTCAACTGTCACTTTAAGTGAAAAAATTCTGATGGAGCATGAGAAATTCTCTGTTAATAAAGGCTTATGTCTTTCTGGCCATGAGCAAAGGGTGCCTGGTACTTGCTAGTTCCATTTAAATACCGTATTATTTTATAAAGTTCATTGTGGATTTTCAAGAATCCTTTAAACACTATTGAATTCATTTACTCATTTTGCTAGATAATGGGGAACTGGAGGGGGCAGAGAAAGCCCTGGGAGTCAGTCCCACTTCGCAGCTGAACAAGGCAGGAACTGAGCTAGTAAGCACCGCACCCCTGTCTGTCATTCCAGTTTTAAGCAAGGCCTGATTCAGAATTTCATTTTCACGGAGCTGTGTTTAGATTTGAGACTTGGTTAATGTTCTTTTTGGTAAGAACTAAGTACTTCTATTTCCTAAAGTTATATCCACCTGAATGTGAATATGGACATTTTAAGTTAAGAGAAGTAGCTTTAGGATGTGGCACTGGATATGAACGCAGAGGCGCTCCCACATGCCCCTGTGTGGCCACCGCCACGCAGTGGAACACAGACGCACGCTCAAAGGAGGTAAGGGGAAGAGACCCACAGTGGTCTCTGCATGGAGCTGGCATGACTCCATGGCACAAAACAAGAGGGAGCAGAGCGTGCCGGCCATGTGTGGGGACGTACAGGGTTTGATGTCACAGTAAGGTCACTTAGATTTAAAGTGTCTTTAGAAGCAATTACCTTGTAAAGCAACTCTAAACTTTGGAGAGAACCATTTTACTTTATCATTTTTTTTTTAAAAAAAGCATCATAGTTTTATTCTCATTTATAACTAAAAATTTAAGTCGACGTCATATTTTGAGGAAGCTCTTAGTTAGTAATGACAAATTACCTGCATTTTAAAAGTCAAGTAAGAAAAAAAAAACTTCTTTTTGGTTCTGCAGCAGATCAAACCGGCTCTTTAATTATTATTTTAGCCCATTAACATTACCTTGAATAATGCATTCGAGTGGTATTTGGGGTGGTGAATTACAGAGCTCACACCCACAAGCCATGCCGATGGCTAAACTGCCAAGGGCAAATGAAACTGGCCACTAGTCAGTCTACTGCAGTTTCAGCTGCATCCTTATGGAAGGAAGGTAAAGCTCAACAAAGAACCCACAAAATGAAATGATGCAGACCAACCTTTTATTGCACCCACAATATTTTGGTCTAGGCCTTTCCGGTTGTCATGGAGTCCTCTTTTCCTCTTCCCATTGGGTAAGGAGTTAGCCAAAGTCTTGTCATCAAAAAACGCGCACACCAGTTTTCTAAACAGAAGGCTTCCTGAGCGAGTGTAGTTCGACAGAATAGAGTCCAGCTGAGATTTGGGCATAAACACATCAAAGCCTTCAGCAAGTTGTACTTCTGGCTACCAAAAGAACATAAATATTTCATTAAAAGCAAGATTTGAAGCATTTGACTCTGGGTACAGGAGCAACAACAACAAAAAAGACATCGCTAGCGACTGAAATGTACATCACCTACAAAGGAAAACACTCTCGGCTTTGTGCGCCAGTATCTGCGATTCATAAAACCAACAACTAGTTATGACTCACAAAACAAGATGCTCTCATTCCAATATTGGACCTTGTCAAAAGCAATGGAAAAAGAGGTAGTCAAGAGAAGGCTGGCTAACCGCAAGGTCCTATCATTCTAGAGCTAACAGGGGGTTGAGACTTCAGGATGAAATATCCTCATTTTGGAAATGAAGGAGCTAAGGCTCAAAGAGATCATTTAAAAAAAAGACTGAGAAATAATTCAAATATGCTCGGTACAGTACAGTTACAGATCACGTTCTCATACACTAACTCACTCAATTTCTTCCTAAGGACACAAAGCTGGGGTTACCTCGGAGGGGCCCTGGCTCTTTCTATGCCAGTGGCTTTTAGCTACGGAGCTATTTTCTCCCCCAACGAAACTTTTGTAAACTAATACGTAAGATACATAAACATGATGAGCGGGTTTCCCAGGCAGTTTAAATCCACTCCCCATCCCTGCATTTGGGAGGAAAATGTGAAACTATGTCCCAGATTGCCCTTGGAAAACCAATGTTCCCTAGCAGGCGTTTCCTGACTGGGATATGGAATCAGAAGACATCCAAGGCGCCTTTCAACTTGGACACTGTCGCACATGCTCGGTGCTCAGAACGCCTTCTCTAACAGCACGCCATGAGTTTTACAACTCGCCTTTTTATCTTTCAACCCAGTTCATACCTTTCCTTTACAAAGCCTTCCAAATGAACGGATCTCCTAACTCCTTCTTGCCCGTGGAGGTAGCTACCACTCTCTGTTCCCGCTGTTCATTTAGCAGTCATATGATTGTATTTCTGGCACTATATCAGAATTATTTATTCGAGTGCAGCCCTGGCTGATCCTGAAGCTCAGACTTTATTACCTCTAGGATCTGGCATATAGCAGGCACTCAATAACTTCTTGTGGAACAGACAAAAGTTCATTAGTCATAACCTGCACTACTAAGTCATTTGGTTTATTATTCATTATAACATGGTAGCTGTAAAATAACTTTAATATGAAGAAATGCAATCAGTAAACTGTTATTAGGAAAAAGTTTGAAGAAAACCTCATTGAATTAAGATGTGCTATCAAAGCTGATTCTTAGATCCCCTACTCATCACTTTGCAAAACTGGCCCTGCCTCACAGTTTCTAAATCACATCAGAAATGCGAGCATCCGGGATGAATTTCCCTCCTGGAAAATAAGAATGGTTATTTTTGCCTTTGTCTTACCACTTTTCAACATGCCACCCCACCTATGGTCAAAGTAAACAGTGCTTAGAGCAGGACTTAAATTCTTTGGATGACACAGGAAGGAGCTTGAGCCTGGTCCCTCCAAAATAGAATTTTTAACTGGAATATCCAGAAAGTCATCTCATGTCTCTGCCTCACTTTGCCATTCAGTGTTTGGTCTCTGAATGTTTGCTGAATATCACCGTAAGAGCCAGGTTGTCAGACTTTCCCCCTGACTTCTGGATCTTGCTGCTTGCTGGTCCAGGTCTCCAAAGGAGGTTGTCTGAGCTGGAGGCTGCATCCCTGATTCCCGGAACAGAGGTGGTACATACCAGGCACTCAGTAACTCTTTGTCAAATGATTCAATGTAGACAATATTAGGATTGAGGGGATTTTACCATCATAACCTAAGGTGAAGTTTTATTTATAACTAGAATTTTGCAAATTCTGTGCTGCATTTAGAACTTTTGTTCTAAATGAACTGATCTTAGATTTTTGCTAAGTGCTCTTGTATCATTTAAAAGCTATTTTTAAAAATCCAAGTTTGGCTGGGTGCAGTGACTCAAACCTGTAATCCTAGTACTTTGGGAGGCCGAGGCAGGCAGGTCACCTAAGATCAGGAGTTTGAGACCAGCCTGGCTAATATGGTGAAATCCTGTCTCTACTAAAAATACAAAAATTAGCTGGGCATGGTGGCAGGTGCCTGTAATCCCAGCTACTCAGGAGGCTGATGCAGGAGCATCACTTCAACCTGGGAGGCGGAGGTTGCAGTGAGCCAAGATCACGCGTGTGCCATTGTACTCCAGCCTGGAGGACAAGAACAAAACTGAGTCTTAAAAAAAAAAAAAAGTTTGTCCTGCAGAAGCCGCTACTCACAGCTATTTGATGGTCTAGGGTGGTTCAAAAGTTCTTAATGGCAAGAGAGGAAGGGGAAGGACACTAGTTATTTATATAATCTCAGTTTGGTTCTGATACCATTAAACAGGTATTTAAAACTCTGACCTCTGAGACTTCCCCTTTGATTCACCCCGTGAACTTGGACCCCAGTTTGAGAAACAATGACCCGAATGAGCTGCCAGTCGGAACTGGCCACTCCCTTCTTCAAGCGCTCCGACTATTTTCTAAGAACTCTGTTTACAGCACTTTTCACGCAGCATTGACCTAGCTGGGAGTTTACATTTCTCACTGGGAATGAGGACTCTTGTATTTGGAGTGTCAAGCACCCAGTTAGTGCCCAGTAGGTATTTGTAAGAATAAACAAAACAGTATGCAAGAATTCATTCAAAATGCCTGGTATTGATTCGGAGATCTTTTATCCCTGTAAAAGGAAAGTGGGTTTGAAAGTTTGCCACGCTGTGCTCGGCATGCCTGCATCTTCTAACGGTTCATGTGCTAACTCCATGAGTTGGAAGACCAGGACAACACGGACCCAGCTGATTCAGAACCTAGTCACCGAGTCCCCTCCATGTGTAGGAATCTGAAGGCGGGCTCTGCAGATGAGACATGCACACGTAACTATCCTGTAAGGCTGAACGTGAGAAACACGAGAGAACAGAGCAAGTGCTGTCTGAGACAGCATCAGGCAGGACTTGGCTGCTGGGGATGCGGGAGGAAGGGGGCTCTTGGGAATGAGGAGGGGACAGGATAGTACTTTAACAGGACCTTGAAGATGGGATTCAGGAGACAGATACAGGCACTGTTTCTGGCATCTGCTGCAACTCCTAACAACTGAGTATCTGGAGGTTTCTGCAGAGCTAAGAGACTTCCAATGCAGAAGCCGTCACTGCTTTCCATTCCACTTTCTACTGCCAAATACTGTTATTTTGAACTGTTCTTTCCAGGTCAAGGAACATGACCTCACTCCCTTGCAAGCACCTTGCAGAGGAGGAAGCAGTCTGGTTAGAGGAACGGTGGTGGCAGTGGCAGCCGGGCACAGGTGACTGGGCTCTGTCCTTCCTGTTCTTCTCAGCCTGTCTCCTATTCAGATTTCTGAGCCAGGAGTGGATGAGCGCCAATACCATCTACCTGTGCCAGGCGCCACAAGGCAACAACGCCTTAAAAGAACAAAAGAGGGCAGCTTTGTTTACTGAAACACGAAGAAAAGCTGCCGTTCACTAATTGCTTATTTTTACTATGAAATCTGTTTATTTCCTCCAATTGATAAATAAAAACACAGTGGATAACTATCATAATGATCCATATCTTTGTACATATATTTAAAAACAGTATGAAGCTCTTTAATTGTATCACTGAATCTCTTAGTTTACTGCTCTAGTTTAAATGAGATCTCTTTGCTTATTGATAGCTATGATAGAAAGCAACACCTTTCCAAATGAGTATCATTTAAAAACTAGACTTTTCTTGACAGATTCACAATTTGATACTGAAGCCAAAATAGAAAGCGAATGAGATTTTACTGATTACTGAAATAATATGATGACATATTATGATGAATAACAATATGACAAATAAAATGATGATATCTAAATGAACAGTTCAAAATAACAGTCTAAAGTTAGGGCAGAATTGACGACACTTAGAGGCATCATGTTAAAGGTTGAGAGTCTTGAATTCCCACTCTAAATTTGGATTTTCTTTTTTTTTTTTGAAATGGAATCTCACTCTGTTACCAGGCTGGAATGCAGTGGCGTGTTCTTGGCTCACTATAACCTCCACCTCCCAGGTTCAAGCAATTCTCCTGCCTCAGCCTCCTGAGAAGCAGGACTACAGGCGCGCACCACCACGCTCAGCTAACTTTTTATTTTTAGTAGAGACGGAGTTTCACCATGTTGGCCAGGATGGTCTCCATCTCTCGACCCCATGAGACGCCTGCCTCGGCCTCCCAAAGTGCTGGGATTATAGACGTAAGCCACTGTGCCCAGCCTAAATTTGGATTTTCATCTATGTCCTGCCTATTTTAGGTACCTCGGCCACTTAGTGCAACAATGTATCAAATGCTGAATTTTCCTTATTCATCTACACTGGGTGAAGTTCTGGAGGCAAAAACAGCATACACAGTCATAATGACTATTGAAAATGTCCCTGGATCCAGGCCTGTGGACATTCACTAATTTGTTTCTTTGCATTTCAGCTGTGGTCTCCCTTTGCTTAGAAGTAGCTGGGGTTAAGATCTCGTTTGGTTGAGGAATCTCCTAACCAGGTAAATGAAAATGCTCCATCTCCACCCCTCTGCTCCTGCTACACTGTCAAGTCCCCATGAGTGTATCATGTGACTTCACTGGATAATCTAAAGAATAAAAAGTAAGACCAGGCATGGTGGCTCATGCCTGTAATCCTGGCACTTTGGGAGGCCAAGGTGGGCAGATCACAAGGTCAGGAGATAGAGACCATCCTGGCTAACATGGTGAAACCCTGTCTCTACCAAAAATATAAAAAATTAGCTGGGTGTGGTTGCATGCACCTGTAGTCCCAGCTACTCAGGAGGCTGAGGCAGGAGAACTGCTTGAATCTGGGAGGCGGAGGTTGCAGTGAGCTGAGACTACGCCACTGCACTCCAGCCTGGGCGACAGAGAGAAACTCCGTCTCAAATAATAATAATAATAATAATAATAATAATAATAAAATGTAAGACAGTTTTTAGGAGATCATACTAGCTAACCACC